ACACAGGGGGAGTGATAAAGACTCTCGGAGACATGGGCGCCGTTGTGACAAACTTGGCTCTAGGGACCAACAGGATGGGCACCAGGATCTCCGGTGGAGGGACCAGTCGCAAGAAGAAGTCGGGAGCGGCAGACAAGGAGGATCTTTTTGTCATGGACACCAAGCTCAAGATCATAGAGATTCTAGAGGTTAGTTGATGACTTTACAGGAAGATGAAATTGATTTGAAAATTTGACATTAGTTATCAAAATCAGTGGTTTGTTCTGTTTCATTTTGTTTGGTCTCGTAAAGTAATGGATTATTTTTTTTTTAGAAAATAGCTTGAGCAACTGAGATCTTTGGAATAGAGTTTTATGGGGAGTTTAGATTATGGTTATAGTCCTCATGGTTCATTTGAATCTTCTTTCATGTTTTCTCAGTTGTTTGTAATGGATATTTTCAAGGATAGGATTATTTTGTTCCATAATAACTGAGAATGTCATTTATCTTTTTTCCCATTTTTGCAGTTCATTCTCAATGTGCGTTTGGACTACAGAATCAGCTGTTTATTGTCTATCTTCAAGAAAGAGTCTGATGAGAATCCGAGTTCTTTAACTGGAGATGGAATCTCTCAAGGTCTGAAAAATAAAAATCTTGAAAATATTTGGGCTCAGGCCCAAAACATTTTTGATGAAACGTAAGTTTTTTGTAAAAAAATCAATGTTTTATGAAGCTATAATATTCTAATTTTGGGTTATATATGCTATCAAGTGGAATGATTAATCCAGCTGGAATTGCATTTATGAATTCTTTGAGAAATGTTTAGATGCTTTATGTAGGGAAAAAATAGCAAAGGTGATGCTAGTGAGCATAGTATAAGTTGGTTATTTGATATTGGTTATTTATTCTTCAGATGTTCAACAGTGGAAATAACAATTGCTTTACAGGAAAGAAAGCTCGTGCCTAGATTTGGACGGCGAAGGTGGGAAGAAGTTTTTGCGTGTTTTACTGCATCTGGTCATGAGTGGGTATGCGCCTTTGGTTTCACGATCACTACAGTTGCTTTATCGTCACTTCTCACAGAGGCAGGAAGTTCTTCAAAACTTTAAGCAGGTAGAAAATTATTTTTAGTTGTTTTTGTGAACAGAGATAAGCTGGCATTTTAATCATTTTGCAATGCTTATTTTCTTATTACATAGAAAACTATTGCAATAAAAAATCTTAATAAATTTGAATAGGAGAAAAGTTTGTTAATAGTAACTATCAAAGTACTTACTTTCAAAGTCACTGTTTTTACTCACAGTTGTTTGGTATTCTTAACTGTTGCTATAGTATGACGGTTATTACTGGAAAAAATACTGAAGGATTTAAGAAATAATTCTTTGTGTTGAAAATGTGAAGAGTTTCTAGGTCTTGCCTAATATTATATATGTAAATATTTTTATCTATCTTGCAATTTATTATTTTTTTCTTCTTATGTTTTCTAGGTTCAACTTTTGGTTCAAGATGGGGATGTGGAATCATACAAGCAAATAAAAGAAGACTTGGATGATTTGCGCAACTTGGTTGAAAAATCAGAACTCTGGGTTTACAAGCCACGTACCACTGAAGAAGATGGAGGTGGAACTAAAAAGAAGAAGAAGAAGGCAAAGGAAGAAGATGATGATGATGGTATTAAACACTTAACTGTTTTTAGGATTTTATTTGTTGACCTGAGTGAAATATCATATTTTGTTATAATTGTTATTTCAAGATAGCAAGCAAGAAAGTAAGTAAGCTTCATGTAATGTTGCATTACAGGTGAGAGTAAACCAAAGAAGCATCCTGCACCCATGTTGTCATCACAGGACAAGCAGGGTTCAGCAATTGACCTTGGACTTGGTCCACCCTTAGAGCCTGACCAGTTGGAGAACTACAAGCGCATACAACAGGTACTGCATAGATGGGGTGTTACCATGATCTTATTAGGAGGTATCAAAGTGCATAATTTTGATTCTTGGGGATGATTGTGCTGTTGAATTCAGGACTTGTAACAGAGATATGGAGAAAATTTGTGAGCTTTATTATAGTGATATATGAAAGTTGTATAATTGTATTGTCATATATGAAAGTTGTATAACTATAGTGATATATGAAAGTTGTATAATTGTATAGTGATATATGAAAGTTGAATAAATGTAGATATATAAGAAAGTTGTGTAATTGTATAGTGATTTAAGATAATTTTATAACACACTAATACTTTCACACTTCATTGTCAAGATATATAGGAAAAATAAACCAGGCCTAATAGAAATTATGAACCATAGTGTTACGTAAGCAAATGAGATCCAAAAAGAATGAAGATTGATTTTCTTTCTGCTTTTGCAGATTCTAGTTAGAATGAATAAACTGTGTGTGACCCAGTCAGCCCATGGACACTTGACACCCAAGAGAAATGAACAGCGACTATTGAGGAACATGGGCATCCATTCTGTTGTTTTGGATCTGCTTCAGGTAATGGATTTGATAACTGGAAAGTATTGCCTTTTCTTTTCTTTCTTTTTTTTTTTCTTTCTCATTCATGGAAATTATGTTGATTCTTTTCCTTTTTCCTTTGTTTTTTTTACATGTTTGATTGAATGCCTTGCATCTTTTATTAATGAATTGTATATTATTATGTATTATTGTTATATTTAGCCTACCATTTCCTCATTTTTTTCTGCAGATTCCTTATGACAAAAAGGAGGACAAACGTATGAATGAACTTATTGAGCTGGCACATCAGTTTCTTCAGAACTTCTGCTTAGGTGATCGTCAGAATCAAGCACTCCTTTACAAGAGAATTGACCTCTTCCTTAATCCTGGGGTGGGTATCAACAGAAATACATATATGCAGTAGCATTTTAGTATATTTTGTAATGAGGATTTTAAACTGTATTATCCTAGTACTTTGGAAAAGATAACTTGACCTTTTGTATATATAATTTTTACCTGGAAGAAGGTATGAAGTATCACAATTTTTATCACAACTCTTTTTGGTGCAGGAATTATTTTTGACTGATATCTAATGTTTAAGTGATTTTTACCTTTTTTTCTTTTTCTCTTTTTTCTCTTTTTTTTAACTAGTATTTGTTGATTAATACCTAATATTATGCTTCCTCTGATGTATACTGACATTTTATGAGAAAATGCTTTGCATGTTACATAAGAGCTCAAGGTTGTATAGAAAGTGAAGTTTACTATTTAAAATATTATAAAAAAGAAATAAATTTCTGTCTTTCGTTGTTCACAGTACTAGTAGTAACTCCTCTTTGCATTCCAGCCCTTCTCAAAAAAATCGGTGAATATTTTGAAACACAGTGAAAGACAGCTGTGCCTCATTTTCTACATTTATCCCCTCTTCCCTTAAAGTAGCTTCATAACTTGTCAATATAAAATATATTATTGTATTATCATTATTATCTTAAAAATCTTTAGAGTAATGTATATTCAATGTGATGCAATGAAACTGAACCACAAAGATCACTTGCTTGATGATATATAATGTTTGTATATGAGCCATGATATTTTGTATTTATTGTTGTTTAGATTTGTTCATGGAGTATTGTTGTTATGAGATAAATATTTGAAGCAGAATAGTGAAGGAGAAATTTCCAGTATTTTATGTTTTATGATTTTTAAGAGAATTAATAAGCATTCAGTTTATTTAGATAAATTTCCTACGACATTGCTTTGAATTTTATTCTTGAGAAATGTATAGAATAGATAAGAGATTAGCTAAAGGACTTTGCAGATTTGTATACACCAAACCCTCTGCTGTCACTCCTAATTGTGTTAGTGAAAATTTATGATAGCGGAACATAAGAATTAATGGCAATAATTGTACTTGGTTCTTGGGCAGATGGTCTACCCAAATATTTTGATAATATATTCCCCTAAACCAGGGGTTCTCAAACTTTTTAACACATTGACCTTCCAAAGGAGTTTCAAATTTTCAAGTAGGAAAAAAAATTCCTTGATTATAAGAGAAGTAGTAGTAGTAGTAGTAGTACAGTTTGATGAAGAGGAAACAGCAGCATTATGTATATCTACTATACACAGTTTTCAACTTCAAATCATATAATAATCAGTTCACAGTCAATACTGACGGCTGAGAGTGTACAGAGTTCCTGGCAATCCTGTATACGAGAGAGAATGGGGTGGAGAATGCTCACTGCGAGAAACAATGAAGGGAGTGGTTTGTTCAAAGGTGGTGTTGCCAAAGCTTCTGAGATTTCCAAAGGTTTACTGAAATTATGACCTATGGTCTGAATTTAAGGAATTAATATGGTTTTAAAAAATCTAGCAGTGTCTGATATTCTTCAGATTTTTCTAAATTGTTATTGAGAATAGATCACAGACCTGTTTATTCAACGACCCCCTTTTGACCTCCTGGCTATTTATTAGCCCCTTGGATGGTCTTGATATCAACCACTTTGAGAACCCTGCCCTAAACAGTACCCCAACAAGAAGAATCTTTAGTAAAATCTATTGAGAACATAAAACAGCAGAATGAATGCTGAACTTATTAAGAACATAAAAAGCCAGTGACAGTTACTTTCAGTTTGAATGAAGGCATGAATGGAGTGACTTGCACCTCACATATCAGAACTTCTATCATTTCCTGGTTAAGGTCATGCATGCTTGTCCTGTCAAAAATTAGTACTGCCTGTTGAGTGGTGAGAGCAGGAGCTCCGTCAACCAGTCAGTAATGTCATAATTCCAAATGTAAAGCACACATGATCTCAAAATAACCAATGCACTGAATGTGTAATAGCAGAGGGCAAAGTGTATATGAAAGCAAGATCTTAAGTTGATTTTAATTTATGTAATGACAGATAAATTTTAATATTTATTTGCATAAATGCAGAGACCTATTAATATGTAGAAAAGGTATGAAGGAGAATGAATATCTTCACAATACAAGAGATGTATTCGACCAGTTTTGATTATATCTTTGTCAGAAATACATAATGAAAACCAGTCAAATACATCTCTTA